TCTACTCTGGTGAAGAGTTACAGCCTCAGAAAGCCAGAGGGGCAGCTCTGCTCTGTCCTAGAGGGCCGCTGTGAGTTGGAAGGAATTCCATCCCTGAGGTGCCTGGTAGACCAACTTCTGAAAGCCCTCTCTCTCACTGCCATCGAATCAATTCTCACTCGCAGCAACCCCTAGGACAGAGTAGAGCTGCCCTGTTCACTTCTGTGACAGCAGTTCTTCTTTGATGCAGCCGCCCAGGAACGGAAGGGTCTCCCCCAGGCAGGTGGGCACAGGGACCCACCGGCCGGAGAAGTTTCCATTTGGAATGACCTCCCCCAAGCCACTCCACCGTGAGCCAGGCAAGCCCACCTCTTTGGGATAGGAGTAGAGATCTTCATCTTTCTCCTGAAGAGCGGCTGGTGATGCCAACTGCTGGCTCTGAGGGTAGCAGACCAAAGCATCTTTATGTTTTCACCCATCAGTCAGTCCCTTGGGGCCAGGCAAACATGCGCTAGCCCCTCCCCTTTTGCCCTGCCCCCGTCTCCCCAATACTCTGGGACTCCTATGGGCAGTGGGGCAGCATCCTGGATGAGAAGAGTGCCCTGTTAGAAAGGTCCCAACGCAGTCCCGTGAGACCTGAAAGACACCACTCAGCCAGAAGTTGGGTGGTGAGAACAGGGAGAGTTCCACAGAGTAGCCAGCGGTGGTCCAGAGGCCAGGGCAAAACGAGGCTATCAAGAGACTCAGAAAGTGCCCACCACACTTGGGACTTAAGCCTTTGCACACGCTGCGTGTTGAGGGGAGGTGCCCATGTATATTCATGCGTGTGCAGGGGCATGTCTTCGGATACTCAGCTATTCAGGTGAGCGTGCCCATGCACATACTGGGTGCATGTGCATGAACTGTGCGTGCACGTGTGCATGTGGACATGCATGCAAGTGTGCACGTGCAGGTGCGTGTGCGCACGGGCTTCCCCGGGACGGCCGCTTGCTGGGGTCCTGTGCCCTGGACTGACCGCCGCCGGCTGTCCCGCCAGGCTTCGTGGACGAGTGCGAGCGGAGCTCCCCGGTGGACTACTACTGGTACCGCGAGACACTCAACATCTCCACCTCCATCGACGAGTCGGGCTCCATCCAGTGGTGGATCCTGCTCTGCCTGACGTGTGCCTGGAGCGTGCTCTATGTGTGCACCATCCGCGGCATCGAGACCACCGGCAAGGTTCGTCGGAGCGCGGGGCGCGTGGCGCGTGGCGGTCACCAAGGTCTGGAGGCCCAGGGGCCAGTCTGTCTCAGATCGCTCCCGAGCCCAGCGCCTGCGAGGCCACGCGCAAGCAGCTCAGGGCAAAGCGTTCCGTGAAGTCAACAAAGGGGCGCGCGGGGCAGAGGCCTGGCAAAGCTCGCGGCCCTTGGCCCAGGGCGGAGCTGAGTGCGACCTTTCTCGGGTAGGGCTGCTGGGGAGGCTGCGCTCCTGACGCCGTCCACCCCCCTCCCTTCCCGCGTCCCCGCAGGCTGTGTACATCACCTCCACGCTGCCCTACGTCGTCTTGACCATCTTCCTCATCCGAGGCTTGACCCTGAAAGGAGCCACCAGCGGCATCGTCTTTCTCTTCACGCCCAACGTGAGTGGCCCCGGCAGTGGGATGTCACGGGAAGGAGCACCCCCCCCAACCCCCCCCACAGGGTCTGGTGTGGGGGTGTGGGAGGGGAGGCTGAAAACAGAGCAGGCTGCTCTGACCCCGTCCCCCAGGCAGGCAACACCACCGACCCCAGTGAGAGGCCCCCTTCTGCCCTTATGTGGCTGTGGCCACCGCCCACATTGGCATGGGCCTAGGCTCTGCCTCCTAGAGTGTGCCCCCCCCACTTCTCCCAGACCCTACTGCAGCCCACCCTTCTGTTGAGGTGGGACCACCCTCTGGTGGGCCGTGGGCCACTGTCCGTGCTGCACCGAGCTCCCGGGCTGAGGATCTGCTGGGCCCACAGGTCACGGAGCTGGCCAACCCTGTCACCTGGCTGGACGCGGGGGCACAGGTGTTCTACTCCTTCTCACTGGCCTTCGGGGGGCTCATCTCCTTCTCAAGCTACAACTCCGTGCAGTGAGTGTGTGCGCCCGCGAATCTCCCCTGCCCCCAGCCCCGCCCCCGTCCTCAGCCGCAGCGCAATCCCTGAAGGCCAGGCGCCCATTCCTAATGCCCCCACCTGAGAAAGCCCCAGAACCCAAGGCCCCCGGAGCCTCCAGGGAGTCCTGGTTCAAGCATTTGCTGAGCCCTGCCTGGTTATCAGGCAAGGCCGGCTGGCTCACTGCTTGGACGGGGGCCACCACTCCTGGGAAATGAGGAGCCACTGTGTCCCAGGACAGGAAGGGGCGGGCAGGGTCATGGGTGCAATGTAAGGCTCAGATGAAGGAAGGGACAGAAATACAGACACTACCTACCCCCATCCCCACCCTCACCCCACCCCACCCCACCCCGCAGGCCAAAGACAGCTGTGTGAACAGCAAGACTGGGGGATAAGCAGGGGTGGGTGAGGCTGTGATGGTGGGTATGACCAGGACAGTGAGTAAGGTGTGGCTGTGAGGGTCACCCAAGAGGTGAGCAGGGGTCAGGCTGTGAGGCTGGGTGGGACTGGGAGGTGATGTTGAGGATGAGGCTCTGGGAGAGGTCTGCTCAGGCTCGGACTTAGAAGGACCCCTGGCTGCCAGGGGGAGTTGGGAGGGAGGTCAGGGGCTGCTGCAGGGAGCTGGCTGGGAGGTTGTTCAAGGCCTCGGACTTCTGACTGGCCGTGCACTGGAAGCAGCCAGAAGGATGGTGTGTGCTCCCTTCATGGTAGGGCGGTCGGTGCAGTGGTAGAGAGGCAGGGAGCTGGGCATGCCATCAGTGGCCTGTCAGAGAGGAGGGTCAGCCTGGCCATGGAACAGAGACGGGAACCCCCAGGGGGGTGGGCAGAGTCTTCCCTGAAGCCCGAGGCCAAGGCAGAGTGGTCTTGTGAGGGAGCAAGGGCTGAAAGACCATGAGGTGGGGCTGCAGAGAGTGGGTCTGGGAGCCAGGAGGTATGAACCCAGAGTGGAGAGTCCCAGGACAGCTCAGGAAGGGGATGCATACGGGGTCTGAGATGGCCCTAAGAAGCATGCCACAGGAATTGAGGCAAGGGGCCTAGCGCTTGTCCCTGCACTCTGGCCAGAGGAGCATGGCCCCCAGACTGTGCCTTGGGTTGGTGCCTGCTGTGTACATAGCCTCTCACAGTCAAAGGTGGTGATCTCAGTGATGGGCAATGAGGGACTAAGGGCCATGTGGGACCCTGGAGCTGGGGGCCACAGGTGTTCCTAAGCCAAAGTGAGGAGCTGTGTGCCTTTGTCTCCATGAAGCCATATGCACACGCACACGCACGCACACAGACCTGGGGCCAGCACACACCCTCATCCCTGCTCATCAGGGAGCTTCCTCTGGGCTCACCAAAAGGCTGGAAGTTCATGTCCACTCCGCGGGACCTCGGAAAAAAGGCCTGGCAACCCACTTCCAGAAATTAAGCTCCTGGAAACCTAGGAAGCAGCGAGTCCGTCGACTCACTGGAAACGTTTCAGGGGGTTGACTTGGTTTTGCTTTGTCTTTGGCCTTTGCACCACGCCGAGCTCCGTCACACTCTGTAAACCTGAGTTCCGGCTCCTAAGAGGCCTGGTATAGTGGTTGCACACTGTCCTGCCATCGGCCGACCTTAGGGGCATCACTTGTTGCCAGGGGCTTTCCCAAAATAGGCGGGGCCTTGTTGGGAGGTGTCAGTGGTGTTCAGTGGGCTGGGCATGGAGGACCATCTGGGAAGGGTCAGGGGAGGGAGTCCAGACACCTGCTCAGAGGGCCCCAAGAAAGAGGGGCCTGACAGGCTAGGAGACCCTCCTGGCTCCCTGCTTCCTTTTCTCCAAGCACCTGCTGGGGGGTCCCCACTGCTGGCGTTCTCGGGTTCCATGGTTCTCACTGTTTCTTCAAACCAACAAGACTACCCTACTCGTCTCTGAAGGCTACCGAGACCTGGGTACCCTAGCGTGCTAGGAGAGGGGCGTAAGCGCAGACCAGTGGTTGTCAGCAAAGCCCAAAGCAGGCCCTGGCTGCCCAGAGCTGGCCCAGGCTCTCCAGCCACCAAGCCTGGGTATCGGCTCTTCCAGGGACACACCAGGATCTTCTCTGGGGGGTGTCGGTGGGGGAGGACATCTCCAGATCCCCAGAGCTCAGGAGCATGCCATCTTATCCCTGGGAGTGCCCCGGTCACATTAGAAAGGCCAGCAGCTCAGCCTCCCCCACACTGCCCCTGGGTTTCGGGGCCACTACCAGTGGTCCCCGTGCTCAGCTGCCAGGGCATGCAGTGACAGCCACCTGGTTCACAGCAACAACTGCGAGATGGACTCTGTGATCGTGTCCATCATCAACGGCTTCACGTCAGTCTACGCAGCCACCGTGGTCTACTCCATCATTGGCTTCCGAGCCACCGAACGCTATGACGAGTGCTTCGATCGGTAAGCCCACCATCACCCCCACGCTGGGGCCCCTTGCCAGCCCTCGAGGTCCAGTGAAGGGTGGCAGCCTCACTCCTGTTACAGGAATATCCTGACCCTCATGAACGCGTTCGACCTGCCCGAAGGCAACGTGACCCAGGACAACTTCATGCAGATGCAGGAGTATTACAACGCCACCTACCCCACGGAGTTCAGCCAGCTGACCTTCCAGACCTGCGACATGAACACCTTCCTCTCAGAAGTGAGTCCCCTGGGGATCCCTCCCACACCCAGGCCTGGCGGGCAGGCACCCTCTAGAGCCAGCCAGGCCTGAGCCAGCACCCCTCGTCAGAGGTGCCTCAGTCACCCGCCATACCAGTAATGTCACAGGAGGTGCTGTGCTGCTAGCCGCAAAGTCGGCAATTCAAACCCACCAACCGCTCCTTGGAAGAAAGATGAGACTGTGTGCTCCCATAAAGACTCACAGCCTCAGAATCCCTGCGTGAGGTCGCTATGAGTCAGAATCGACCCAATAACAGTGGGTTTATATAATGGGTGTAATAACGAGGCTTTATACCCCTGTAAAGAGTTACAGCCTTAGAAACCCACAAGGGCAGCTCTGCCCTGTCCTTAGGGTCCCTATGAGCCGGCATCTGGCCGTGTTTCTTCCAAGACAGACTAGTTTGTTCTCACAGTTCGGGTACTTTAACTCTTCTTCTCCAGCACCATACTTCAAATGCACCCATTCTTTATCTTAGTCAATGTCCAACTTTAATTCACATGCAGAGGAGACCATGGAACCCTACTCCTGAAAGTCCCATCCTTGCTCTTAAACACTTTATGGTGGCTTGGGCGGCAGATTTACCCAACGCACCCTGTTTGATTTCTTGACGGCTGCTTCCCATGGGCGTTGACTAGAAGACCCAGTGAAATGAACTCCTTCGACGACGCCAGTCTTTCTCCACTTAGCATGATGCTGTTGGCTATCGGTCCAGTCGTGAGGATTTTAGTTTTCTTTACGTCAAGTCGCCATGCGCACCGGAAGCCGCGGTCTCTGATCTTCATCAGCAGGTGCTTCAGACACCTGCATGAAGGTAGAATTCAGTGCCTCAGGATGCTCCCACCTTCAGTGTGCTGGCTGTGACTTTCAAGGGTCCATAGATGTGTTGTTTCAACAAGCATCCATCAGAGTCCCCTCAGGGCCCCTTCCTCCTCCCCCTTCCTCTCTGCGGTTCCAGTTTGCTTTTGACCCTCTTCCGTCATCCTCTGTGAGGAAACGCTGCCCTTTGGAGCTGAAGTGGTTGATTATTTGAGCACGGAAGTGAGGTCAGTTCCAGTCCTAAAGGGTGTCGAAGGACCATGGTCTGGAGCTTCCCCCCACCCCAGTCTCTAGCCCACCAGTAAGCCTGACCTCCTTTAGGATTCAGGGTTTCTTTCCACCCTTCCTCCAGGAGCCTCTAATGGGATCCCTTTCAGGGCAATTGGTAGTCCAGATCAAAGGGGCTGGTGTTTGCCTGCCTGCTCCACACGTTTGTCCATCGGACTAAATGCTCTCTGTCTGTGTACCAGACCATATTTTGTTGTGATCCGGAGGGGTTTTGACTGGCTCATTTGGGGAAGTCGGTTGCCAGGACTTTCTGACTAGCCTCTCTTAGTCTGAAAGCTCTGCTGAAACCGGTCCTCAGTGGCTGAGCTTGCTGGTGTCTGTAATACCTGGGGCATAACTTTCAGCACCATGGCAACACCAACCCACCAGTCACCACAGCAGTGACAGACAGGTGGTGGCCCTCAGGCTTATGGGATAGCATTTCCTGGTGTCTTGAAATCATCTCCCTCAGCCCAAGGCTGCGGCCAGCACCACGGCGTGGGCGTCGTTACTGGCTGGATCTCTGGGCAGAGAGCAAGGAGCACACTGGGGTCTAGAAGATGGCACCTGTAGTTGTTGCTGTTGTGAGGTGCCACCGAGTCAGCTCTGACCCACAAGGTCCTTATGCACAACAGAAGGAAGCACTGCCCGATCCTGCACTGTATTAGTCTAGGTACTTTGGAGAAACAAATCCACAGCAACTCATGTATAAGAGAGAGTTTTATGTAAAGAAATTGTGCATCATGAAAACATCCCAACCCAATGCTGCCCAAGCCCACAAGTCCAACATTAACCCATTAACCCAACACCAGTCCACAAAGTCCTCCACCTCACAAAACAGAGGCAATGATGCCGACTGCAGGAGGAAAGCTGAGTCAGTGAACGAACAAACATCTCAGCACTAGCAAGGATCTCCATACGGCTGCTCCAGCACCCAGGGCTGCATCGGGATAGGTCCATGTGGCTTCTCCTGGGGATGTCTTGTAGGATGTCAATCTTGCAAGCTGAAGCAGGAAGCTGCTAAGGCAGCTGCACCTGGTGCAACCATCACAAAACAAGAGACCCAAGAACTAGAAAGGCGAGGCTTCACCACCCATTTATCCCTCCGCCTTTCAATTAGCCCCACATGTGATTATCGGCCAGGCTGGCACAATTAACTAACTCATGCACCATCCTCACAATGGTTCCTGTGCTTGAGCCCATTGTTGCAGCCGCTGTGAGTCCATCACCTGGAGGGCCTTCCTCTTTGTCCCTGGCCCTTCACTGTACCGAGCGTGACGTCCTTCTCCAGGGACTGGTCTCCCCTCAACACCCCCACAGTCCGTGAGACAAACCCTTGCCATCCTCGCCGCTATGGAGCACTCTGGCCTGACTGCTTCCAATACAGACCAGCTTGTCCTTTTGACAGTGCACGGTACCTTCGAAAGTCGTCTCCAGAATCAGATCGCAATGTGTCGATTCCTCTCTGGTCTTATTCTGTATTCATTGTCTAATGTTCACGTGCGTCTGAATCCGTGGAAAACCCCACGGCTCGGTCAGGCACACCTTAGTCCTCAAAGTAACATCCTTGCTCTTCAATACTCTAAAGAGGTCGGTGCAGCAGATTGACCCAGTGCGCCTCTTCTTTGGATCTCTGGACTGCTGCTTCCATGAGCTTTGATTGGATCCGAGCAAGGCGAACTCCTTGCCACCCTCAACCTTTTCTCCATTTATCGTAATGTTCCCTACTGGTGCCGTTATGAGGAGTCTGGTCTAAATGCTCTCAGTGTGTGCCAAATACATTGAGTCGTAGTAACCCATACTGAAGGCTACAATCCTTGAATTTCAACAGCAAGCACTTCCAGTCCACCTCCCTTCCGGCAAACCAGGCTGTGTCCTCTGTGTACCGCAGGCTGTTCCCAAACCTTCTTGGGGCACATTTCTAGGTGCCCCGTGGGGCCAACAGTAAGCATTGATTGGGCTTCTAACCGACAGGCTATCAGTTTGAACCCGTCAGCCGCCCTATGGGGGAGAGCTGAGGCAGGTCTGCTCTTGTCGAGATGTACTACCCCTCCATTGGATCGGGTCACTCTGACTGGTGGGTGACGGGCCATGGGCGGGGCCCCTGCTGCCTGCCTGCCTGCTTGTCTCTCCGCAGGGCGTGGAGGGCACCGGGCTGGCCTTCATCGTCTTCACAGAAGCCATCACCAAGATGCCCGTGTCCCCGCTGTGGTCCGTGCTGTTCTTCATCATGCTCTTCTGCCTCGGCCTCTCGTCCATGTTTGGGAACATGGAGGGCGTGGTGGTGCCCCTGCAGGACCTCAAGATCATCCCCCCCAAGTGGCCGAAGGAGCTGCTCACAGGTGCGTGTGCCCCGCCCCCCCAGCAAGGGCTGGGCCCAGAGCCGTCAGCCGACCGGAGGTGGGCGGACAACAAGGACAGGGTCAGCCTGGCCACAGGGAGAGGGCTTGAAAGAGCTTCTTCCAGGGCAGGGGCAGGGAGGGGAGTCCATAGAGGAGTTCAGAGAGCCCCCCCTCCCCAGACATGAAGACGTGGGGACCTGGGTTTCCAGAGTACGGCCTGACCTCAGAATGGGGGTGGACCTCACCATCCTTTGAGTCCTTGGGAGGTAGAGGGTGGGGGTCGTTCTGCAGCATTTCAATAGGGGGCTGGCAGGTGGGGGCTGGAGCCACAGGCATCCGCTCAGTGGATCAGCTTGCGCCTGAGACCACAGTCAGGACCCCCCTTTGTTGTGATCCGGA